TAAGAATTCCTCATATCAGTGAGGTCATATGATACATGTCTTTCTCTGATTGACTTATTTCGCTCAGCATAATACCCTCCAGTTCCATCCACGTCGTTGCAAGTGACAAGATTTCATTCTTTTTGATGACTGCATAATATTCCATTGTATATATACACCACATCTTCTTTATCCATTCATCTGTCGATGGACATCTTGGCTCTTTCCAGGGTTTGGCTATTGTGGACATTGCTGCTATAAACATCGGGGTGCACGTACCCCTTCGGATCACTACATTTGCATCTCATGCCTTTTTAATGTTTTAAGATTTTTATAACTAAAGGGGAAATTTGATTTTGGAAACTTCTCAGCTGAAAAACTTACTGAATGGGTACACTGGCATTAGGAGAAAATCCTAAGAAGCTATCTTTTCTTAGAAAAAAAGTTTTGGTTATCATATAAAAAAATGTTCATCTGTCTCTTAAAAGATAGTCTATTCTTTTCTTTAACCAAAAATATATAGACTTTTAATATGGTTGCTTACTTGCCTTTCTTATACGGTAAATAAAGAAGTGATGAAGTAATATAATGTTCTGTGACAAAGCAGTATTCAACAGGCATGTGAACGTCACGAATTTTATGGAGACCAGGTCACCTATGGATTGCTTGGTCTTATAGGGGGGTGTCAATACTCATCATACGATAAAATGCCCGTCCTATCATTTCCATCTTCCCTCATGCTTTCTTTGCATACAGACTCTGTGTCTTTCCTTTAGAATAAAGTTGTTTGGGGAATATTAATTTATTGGCAAGAGTCCCTGTATCGAGGGTACTCTGAGAACAATGGTAATAATCAGAAAGTGCCAACTGAGTACCAGTACAAGCTATCATCAAAAGCATTGTTTTCATTCCATGCCCACGTGTCCAGCAAGAACCAGTGCTGAGCTAAAGAAGCTGGAGATGGTATTTGGAGAAAGGGATGTCTTGTCTTGCTTAGTAGAAACTGTTGACTGCCCTTTCTCCAGTCTTCCGGATTATGGAGGGGCAAGGAAGGGATTTTATCACCTATAAATTTGATTGATAATATTTTGGCAGCCCAGTTTCAATAACTGGGGAGAGGACCTCAGTTTTTTATCTCATTCCTCCTACCTTGGGATATGACCTCAGTTAAGTCATTAGCTTTTCTTCCATGCTGCAGTTTCTTTTTCAGAGAAAAGAAGACAGTGCTAATTAAATACCAATTTTTATAGCGAACCAAATCCCAAAAAGTAATATAAGTTCACGTTCTTGTTGATGCCTGATTGATCCTTTCGAATATGTGGCCTTTGCAGTGTAATATAAACACAGTAAACGTTAGCACAGGTAAAGCCACAGTAACCCTGAAAGCCTTTATTGGATAGAAAGGAGGGGGACATGCCATTTACGTTGCAGAGCTTCTTCTATGGGCGATGAGCTTGAGTCAGCTAAATGTATTTTTTAAATACCATGCGAACACTTGAGCTTAAACAGATGAAGTCTTTGCTGATGCCATGCTAAAACCGTTCCTCCTTCATGTACGTAGCAGGCAGCTGCTGTCAGTGCCTCGGAACATTCCAGAGAAGTTAGTGCCGCTGGGGGACCCTCCGACAGCTCATCCGAAGCCTCCAAGTTGAGTTCCAAGAGTGCAAAGGAAAGAAGAAATCGGAGAAAGAAAAGAAAACAGAAAGAGCAGTCTGGTGGGGAAGAGAAAGATGAGGATGAATTCCATAAATCTGAATCTGAAGACAGCATCAGGAGGAAAGGGTTTCGCTTCTCCATAGAAGGGAATCGACTGACATATGAAAAGAGGTACTCCTCCCCACACCAGGTATGGCACCGCGGAGTTAAAGGATGCATGGATGAAAATCAGAACACTGAAGAGAGGGGGAGAATTAAATCAGATTTACGAATTGTTGTCAACTGAATTGACTGCTATGTTTATTACATTTAAACCTATTCTTTCTTCACGTAGCTATGAGAAAATTTTACTCCATGTCTATATAAGTCTGTGGCTTTCTGTAGCTGGGATCCACACTGGGTTGAAAGTCAGAAGACCTGGATTCTCATCCTGATACTATCTGCTGATACCTTTTGAAACTAATGCCGTTTTTTCTTTGCGCTCCTCAGCCTCTTTAATGAAAACAAAAACCAACAAAAAATGTGGATACGGGGCTGGCTGATCAATAACTTCTTTTGGTTATTTTATGTTGGTTTTTTTCCCCTAACTTTCTTATAAACCGTATGTGCTTCTGAAAATATCAGGTGTGGTATACATTACCAAAAAGCACATTACTCTGAATTTCAGAAGTTTGTGCCTTACAGATGAAACAGGGATCATAATGAATGTAAAGTAATTTTAGAAAGATGGCCTAA